GAGGGTAGAGAGAATAGTGCAACAATGAATGAGTGGAAGCCCAAAATCTCTGTAAATGTTTATGAAAATTAATAAAATATAGAAAAAAAAGAAAATAACAGAGCTTAGATTCAAATAAATTTAATCTTAAATAAGAAAAGCACAAGTTAAAAAAAAATCTTGCTTTTTCATGTTTGAAGAAAGCAGCCTAAATTAACTCTTCAATCAAACTTAAAGTATGTTTGAATATAAGTAACTTCGATCTATAGGAATATGAATAAACCAAACCAACTGGCTGGCAGATTTTTTGCTAAGTGTATCCCAAAATAAGTATTTCAAGAATAGCAGCCTTGCAGGAAGGCCTGTGCAGGCCAGGTGGGTACAAATGAGCCAAAGTTCTACTGCTGCCAGTCTGGCTTAATGGTAAACTCAAGGTCCTATGATGCTTAGGGGTGGCTTTTCTACAATTCTTAGCCTCCTCCCTGATTGAATGATTAAGATCTCTAAAGTCAAAAGAGTGATCAGACTCCAGAGCGAGGGATGGTACCGAAAGGGGGCCTGGCCTGAAATCTCAGGCCTGGTAGGAGCCAGTTTTGTGGACAGGTATGAGGGATGGAGTAGGGTTTCAGGGAGGTGAGGGCAGAGCCACCCTTTCTCTCCTCTTCATTGTAAAGTCTTTAATGCTACCAATGAGCTCCTTTCCCTCCACCCTCACCAAACAATGCTGGTAAAATACTGCAGATACTATTCTTTGTTAGTTTCATATGTCATAATTAGTTGGTATTTATAATTCTCTTCTGCATAATTTTTCAAGCAACAGACCATAATTTATTAAAGTGTGAGTTATCAATAAGCCCTGAAGATAAAAAGAAATTTCTGTGGGAGGTAGACTGTGCTCAATTTCCTGTTCATTTTCCCTAGAATGAACCCGGGTGAGCTTGTTGGTGTCAGTGGGTGTGCCTTGCATTCAAAACTGTACCATGGACAGGGGGTGCAGCGGGTTTGAGAGCATGGGTGACATCCCACATGCATGCTGCCTGTTCTCGGGCACAGGTCCATCCTCTGCTTCCAGGTGGTGCGCCCACCCATTGGCCTGTCTTTCACAAGTGGTTATGGTTATACTGCTAATTAATCCTCTAAACCAGGTTAAAAGACACTTCCTTCAGTTTTCTATATGCTCTGAAGCAGGATGAAGGAAAACAAGGATGATAAACAGGCGTGTGATACGGTGATGTGAGCAGTGCATGCAGAGTGGGCCTCCAGGCAGGCCGGTGATGGTGAGAGGCAGTTACCTACGTGACAGGGGCCCTGGACTCGAGCTTGTTTCAGTTATCCCATGAGACCTGCTCAATTACGGACTGTCAGGGGAAAGAGTAAAAATGAAACAACACACACAATAAATCTTAAATGACCATGCGCAGCACTCCCCACCCTCACCCATCCTGGGACCCTGCAGGTTTACCATCACAGCACACAGAAGAGACCAGCAGCTGGCCTGATGGCAGACAGTACCAACACTACCACAGGACATGCAGGGAATGGCTGACACAGGGGATTACAGGCCAATGGCAGGTGGACAGGTAGGTATGATGAAACCACTTTAACCTGATTCTCAAGGGGCCTGGCTCTAGGCAGTGCAGAAAACTAGTGGGCAGCCCCAGCCAGGCTATGTGGCATGGGGGGGGGGGGGAGTGACCATGTTCTGGGGCTGGGGACTGCGCTGCAGAGGTTGCCTGGGTCTCCAGAGGGCCCAGCTGGCTCCTCTCACCACTGCCTGCTTAAGCCCCAGACATCCAGAAGGTGGACACTGGACTCACCTTTGACCTGATATTTCTGAGTTGCCGGCTGACAGAGGACCTGTCTTTCTTCAAGAAGTCAGGGTTGCTTTTGGATTTCATTATATCTGAAGACACAGAAAGGTCTGTCACTTCTTCCAAAATTCTCTGAATCCAGACTAAATTTTTAAAATTCTCAAAGCTTGTTATTACAGCAGTACATTTATGACAAATCACATTTTGTAGACAACTTGGCTAACTGAGAGAGAAAAAAGAATGTGGTCACTAGTGAGACAGCCTTTTAAGAAGGTCAACATGATGGTCAAATGAACCAATACATGTAGAAGTGCTTGATACAATGTCAAGTCTGCAACATCCTGCAGTTTCTTTTTGCATTAAGGTCTTAATGCAGTGGCCCACATGCATCAGTCCCTGTTATGAACCTAGGCAAGTGATGTACCATCAATCCTTTCCAGAGACCACATTCACTAGAAAAGGATGGGATCAAGTCTCCAAGGGGAGCTGCTTCTACCCAGCTATTGAATTCTTTGGTGAAATGGAAAACAGTTTCTCTTTCCTATGAAAACATCTTGGTGGGGCGATTTCTCCTCAGAGCAAGCAGAGGAATGTCTAGCATACCCAGTGCAGAGATGGCACACTGGTCTGCAGGAGACAGTTTCCCTAAGAGTGTGTGAGGTGACCAGGACCCTGTGCTCCTCTAGCTTCTACCTATCTTCTGCTGAGAGAGCAGACACTGGAAAAGACAAATGATTCTTCTGCTCTGAGACAACACAAGGGATCCAAGGAAGAACTCACCATATCCTGACACTGTAGTGTTTTCAGGGGACTTCTCCCCTAGTGCTTCTGTAGCTGCTTTCAGCTGTTCCTTCAACCTACTAATGTCGCAATCTGCCTTTGCCTTCACAATGCTGAGTTCTGTGTAGATGTCTTTGTATTTATCACTAGCATACTTCTTGTCCTTGGAAATCAAAGAACAGAGGCACAGAATAGTTATGCCAGTGTTATAGTTATGCCACAGTAAATCACAGGCTTGTCTCCCTGGGCTGGCACAAGACCTGGGTCCTTCTCAGCTACTCAGCACTGTGCTGGGGCAAAAACAGAATAGAGATTAAAGCTAGGGGGGAGACAGCCCCCAGATTCCAGTGCTTCCATAAGTTGGAGAGGCAGGACCCTGGGCTACCTATGTCAGATGTTGTGATTTTCCCTGCAGAGGCTACTCAGCCTGTGGCCTCTTCCAGGGAACCTCATGGCCCCACTTTCAGATGAAATGCATCTCCACTGGCTTAAGACCCCCTCTCCTTGATCCCAAGAGTGCCCTGGTAAGTAAGGCCTCACCCAAATGGCTGGCAGGTCACGCTTCCTTTAATTTTTGCAGAGTGCAAAGAGGAACCATAACAAGGAATCCACAAGGTGAGATAAATAGGTCCTTGCTCATCAAACTGCTTTCCAGAGGATGACATCTATCCTTGATTAACTTGGGGTGTGCTTCCGGGCTCTCTGTGCAGCCTTTCCTCAGCCTTCTCCCACCTCGAGGCCCCATTCCCAGCTTTCCCAGTGGTGCTATTACCCGCAGTGCTGTATGCAGCTCGTCCTTCAGAGAACTGATCTCCTGTTTTAGGTACTGTATCTCTGACTCCTTGACCCGCAGTAAGACCTAGGATGAGAGACAGGTTGGGACTGATGTTCAGAGATGAGGACCCCATGGTGCTTGCCATGGCGGTGAGGTGATGCAGAGCCTCTTGCTTCTACAGAGGGTACAGTGGGTCTCAGAGCACCTTGCTGATCAGTGTGCAAATGGTATTGGAAACAAAAAAGTTACACATGAAAATAGGGGGAGTATAAAGCACTCATTATTTTCTAGCACCATGGGACTGTGCCTCATTTGCTGTCTGAGGTTTGATATAACAGCTGCTGATGTGCTCTTTGCTAAAATCCCTGTTGGCTTGCTTGTGGAATTCTCTCAGCCTCTGCCCTGTTCTCAGTAAAGCCCTTTTGGTATCTTTTTGTGAAGAAAAGGTAACAGAAAGGGAAAAAATGTGCTTTCACAAATGCACACCCTATACGAGCATCCTGGTGCCATGAAGCAGACTTCTGGATAATTTCAAGCACCTGCAGATCCATGTAGCTGTTATACATGAGAATTGCATTTGAAGTGGCTAAGAGATATGGCTGTAGTGAAAACGGGAGTACGACTGAAACTGGACCCACCAGGCCTGAGAATGGCCTCCCCGGTGGTGTTCTTTCCCTTTTATCTCCCTGCCAGCATGGCCAGTGAGGGTCACATCTGTTCTCGCTCAGCTCTTTGGTGCACAGACAGTGCCTGGCTGTTGGGAAGGAGTGGCTGAGTCATACCTCCAACTCGTAGGCATCCTTGCCCTGTGTGAGGGGGGAGCCTCCAGCTTCCTCTCCACTGTCCCCGGTCAGCAGTGTCCGCAGCCGTGTGATTTCTGCAGCTAGGCGGTTATTTAGTTCCTGGGGACAGCAACACAACATCAACAGGAATGCCCAGCACAAATGTTTGATGGCTACACAGCAAGCAACTCAACCAGGGAAAAGTCATGTTTTCAGTAAGAACATGCAGTGATCACTGATCAGGTATGAAAGCAAGAGGAGCTCGGTGTGGAAGTGTGTGCACGCCTGCACATGTTAGCTTTAACCTGTGAGAGGTATCACTATTTTATTTATATAGAGCTCAGTAAAAGCTGTTTAAGCAGGTTATGTAAAAACTTTGGGAAGGATTTAAGTATGCAGGACTTGATCATCTTTCATCCTTTTGTGTTATGATACCAGTTATTCTGAGTTGACAAACTAATGGTGAGTCTGAGTGGGTCAGAGCTGACTGCATTCCCAGACCTTTCCTAGGAGGGGCCTCTAAGTGCACTTGGACCATGGACCTTTTGGTTAGCAGCTGAAAAATGAATGTTAATTTGTCTCATGGTTTGCTTCCTTGAGTTCTAGCAGGATTAGCCCTCCTGCCCATCTCTTGTTCTCATCTCACCCGACAAACAGTCCCCTTTACACCACTACTGGGATGGACTGGACTAGACTTGTCCTCACCTCTTTCTATGCAGGCCGTGCAGTGCTCATGGGCCCTGGGATACCCAGCAGGCAGCAGAGAGGACAAGGCCTCATCACACACCTGTGCTTTCAGTGTGGGCAGGCAGAGCAAGATCAGTAACAGAAAAGCCTGCATTAACTAAATCTAACTCAAGCCCCCAAATGAAGCACAATTTAAAATGTACTCTAGTTTTCTGAGGAGCAGGAGATGGAAGGATGTATGATCAGACTCTGAGCCCCCCCCTTCTCTGTGAGGTGAACAACTCACCAAGTCTAACCTGGTAAGCATGAAGTAGAATTGCAGAGATGTCCAGGGGAAGAAATGAAGGCATTTTAGAGTTTCCAGAAGGGCTGAGATCTTCCAGTAGCTGGCTCAGGGGGGCAACCCTTGCTCTGCTCTCTGCCTGGGACATGCACGGCCTTCTAGGCTGTGCAGCAGGTATGGCTCACCTGGTTGTGGGCATTAAGCTCCTGGTTCTCGCGCTGGCACTGCCGCAGTGCCTGCCTTTCAGCCTCCAGCGCCTGCACGAGGTGGGCGTTCTCCAGGCACTTCTGGGAGTACTGCTCTGACAGCACCTCCAGCTCTCGCTGCACCGACTGCAGCTCCTCCCTGGGAGAAAGTACATGGCTCATGCCCGGCCTTGTCCCATCTGTGGCCTCAAAGGCTCCCTACCCCTTCCCAGAATGGGTGCAGGTAAATGCTCAGGAACAGCAGAGCCCAGGAGCACAGCCTGCATCTGTATGCTTAACTATTTTTAAATCATTAAAAAGTAAGGAGTGATTTTAAAAAGTACTTCTTAAAAAGTAGTTCTCAGAATCTACTCAGTGCCTTTCCTTAGTCCTCTTTTATTCTGATAGTCCTAAAGATACATTCCTAATATTTCTCTTATGTCAATGGACAGAGAATTCTTTCCTTGAGGCATGTAAGTGCCTGGTTTCTTAGAGAAGTCAGACCTGGCTTCTTCTCAGTAAACGTCATGGCAGACTTCAGTGCTGGGCTGTGGGAGCACTTGGCATGTCACCCTGTACTTCTGGAGAATGGCTTTAAGAACTTTTTTGCTGAAGCAAAGGGAGCCCTTTTCTCCTGTGGTCTGCTGTAGGGAAAGAGGCTCACAACTGCCACGTCTGACCTTGAATGCACCTGTCTCTGATGGTTTGTTTACCAACAGGAAGCCCTACATGGGCTCTGTTCCTGCCACAACACATGGCAGCTCAAGAAGATCCAGAGTGACAGTTTGCTAACAAGGTCCGGGAAGGGGCTGCCACACAAGCTCTGCCAGAGGCCCTGAACTGTCCCCAGCACCACCTGCTGCTGTGTCACTGGGGACATTTAGCTCTGGAGCACAAGCCCCTGCAGGTGGCAGAGGCTCTCTGGCTGCGGGGGACTCACAGGTACTGGTGCCTCAGAGCTTCAATGTCTGAGTTGGTGCTGCTGATCTGGGACCGCTGGCTCTTCTCAAGCTCCCGCTCCATTTCCTCCCGGTGAGCATTCTTCATGGCCTCAATTGCTGCAAGCGTGCAAGCACACAGTATTCAGCACAAAGGGCAGAGCCACCTGGCTGACGGGCAGGTCTGAGGGGCACACGGGCTGGGAAAGTCTCATGGTTCACAGAAACACTGGAGTTATCGTTCCTTGTTTTTGTGTAAGGAGAACAGCAAACTGATGAACCACGTGTCAATATGAAATTAAATTATCAGTACATGAAACAGCTCGTGTTTGGGTTGGGACATTTTCAAGCCTGCTCAAGGTGCCTGCTCAAAGTAGAGCAAGATCTCCCCAAAGAGAAGTGGCGATCTGGCCAGGGAGGACCCAGCGTCTCCTCGCACCCGCCTCTTCTTGGTGATAGCTGTCCAGTCGTGTTCTGTCCACGACAGAACTGCCCATGCTCCTCCCCGCCCCTCAAGGTCCACCTGAGATAGTGGCTGCAGTCTCCTCTGCCAGGAGTCGGTCCTTCTCCTCTCGCAGCTTCTCTAGCTCCCGCTGGTGCTGCCTCTGCAAGTCCTCAATCTTCTTCTGGTGTGTCTCTTCCATGGCTGCAAATCCCCGCTCACATGTGGCCTGCAAAGTGCAAATAAAGCTGCTGTTTCCTAGCTGAGATATAGCTGGGCAGTGCCCCACCCTGGCTGCCTCCTCCTATGAATTATGTGCTGGCTCCAGGTTGCTGCCAAGATTCCTGGGTGCTTGTGCTCATGCATTTATAAGTTATTTTTTAATATTTGTAAGCACATGCATCTTTAAGTTTTACTTTCACAAGAGTGCTCTGAATTCTATTTCTTCTGGGGAAGGGAATTACTGTTGAAAGGAAAGTTGGCAGAATTGAAACAGTTGATGCTGGGCTTTCATAGGATCAGCTGGAAATGGTAGGAGTGGAGGACAGATAAAGTATGCAGAACCTCATCATTTCTGGTTTGGGATGAAGAGGTGAAAGCTCTCTGTGCCAGCCACAAACTGGGCAATTCAAAAGTGGTTCTAAGAGACGATGACCAGCAACCTCTCACATTCTCAGAGATACTGTCTTCTCAGATATCTCCCAGCTGGAGGGCCAAGGTTACCAAGGGGGGCTCTGTCATTCCTCTGGGAGTGGACAGAGCCGGTTCCCTGGCACTGCCATTACCAGCTAGTAGTCATAAACTGGCTCTTTCACCCTATGATCTCCCAAGGTGTCAACCAAAGGGAGGAGCTCCTTTCCTTCTGACCTAAATCCTGTGTCTCTTCAAGGTGTGCAGAGGAGGGCAGCCCATGAGGAACTGTAGGCATTCACAGCAGAACTGCTCCCCTTACTGAGTGTGGCCTTATCATCTCAGAGGTGGTCTATGACCTTGCACAGGACAAGGACAGAGGTGCTATAAGAGATGTCCACCTCATCAGAAAGCCTGGCTTTACGGGGAGTGGATCTGGGCCACAGACTAGTTTTCTGTTGATATCCTGCCATTCGAGCAGGGAACTGCCTCAGCTCAATGTCAAACAATGAGGATGTAGTAAATCACATCTCAAAATGCAAGTCTGGGGGTGACACTCAGCTCCTACCCTAGACTAACAGGTTGCTGATCTTGTACACTGATTTGGGGAAGGAGGTAAGTCACTATAGTCTCAGTAGGGCCAGGTGGCCCTTTCAGATCCCCTAGTGCCTCAAGTCAGTGACTAACCCACACACATAGCATGTCTTCTCCCAGTAACTGGTAAGCTAGATGTCTTTTAACTTTCTCTCCTTCCTTCTCTCTCACATCTAGTACAGGAGTCAGTTCTGGAGAAAGCTTTGCAGGGGCCTACTCCTAGCACTCACTTTTGAGTCTCTAGTCCCCTCTCTTACATGTCTCTTCTAAAATTATGCATTCTCAGCTAATATACAGTCGGTAGGTCCTGCAGTTATTATTTTGATTTGTTTAAATGCTTCAGAGTATTTGAAGGTAAGGGTCAAAATTCTTCTAACAGACACACTGAATTATCCTAAAAGATTTAACTGCTTCCTTGAAGAACTTATATGCTAATGAAAATGTGAACAAATTTTCACTTTTAAGTTAAGTGTCCTTGTGATTAGCAAAAAGCTCTATAAACCTTTGCTAAGTCTTAGAAAAGGCCCCTTGATGCCATGGTAGTTATGGTAGGGCACTGGGCCATGAGTTCCGTCTCCTCAATCAAGGAAAGAAACCCAAAGGGACTAATATTAGAAAGAGTCCTCCTCAGACAATTTTATGGTGACAAAAGAGGTTAGCTATAAATCCCATGTGTCCAGGGAGTCCATGGGCTGGGGTAGAGCTGGATACAGAATGAAAGGCATGAGGCAGCACCCTGAAAACCATCACTTGAGGCATGCTCCCTGTGAGTGAACCTCTGAATATAGTATAGGCAAAGGGCAGTTTATGAGACAGGGTGCCTTCTGACCGGATCTCTAACTGGTGCAATGTGGGCAGCGCTGAAAGGTCAAATCTGATGGGAAGGACACCCTATTATGCACAGGTACAGCCATAGCTCATGCATACATACTCTTGAAGGGCTAGGATTTGGGTTCAGGTCACTACAGAGGTTTATGTTGATTTTTAGGGTGAACTTGAACTTACCCTGATACTGCTCTCCCTGCACTTTGTTAGGGGGTCATCCCATATGCCTTCGTTCTGCCTGTGATTCATGACTAGTTTGGGAAGGGGCAGAAGAAGTAGCTTCGCCATCCCAAGCAGGAGCTGCTGATCCCACGTGCCTGTCTGGTAGATGGGCTGTCATGTGGAGTGAATACTACAGCCTTTCTCAGAGCTGGGACAGGTACATGACTGGGGAATGGCTCTGTGCTATGCAGTGCTATTAGTGCTAGAGCTGGGAGCAGCAGCAGTGAAACTGTAGGAATCAGAACCTTGCTAAATAAAGCAGGCACTCAGGGAAATGGCACTAACTTTTAACTAAGCCTGTGGGCACCCAGCCTGGGAGAGGCACCGTATCACTGAAGAGCTTGAGGAACTTGGCATTGGCTAGGCACAGGTACTACCAGGAGGACAAGCATGCACAGGTGTTGGAGTACAAGGTATGACAAGGCCTCATGGGGACAGGGTCAGGAGCCTGCTCAGGAAGAATGACTGCTCTGAGCAGCCCCTAACCCCCGCTTGGGTCTCTGGGGTAGTGGGGTGGCAAATGACTTGAGAGTCCACACAGCCCAATCCTGAGTGGCCAAGGAGTATCAGCTCTGTGTGTCAGGGCCTGAGATTTTGGCCTGGTGATGCTGAATATTCATGAGGGGAATTGCCCCAGCTCCTAAAATGGGAAGTGTGGGCAGTGGGACGCTGTGCTGGGTAGAGAATTCCTTCTCAGATAGAACACACATGAGCTCAGACTCCTCAGGGAGCTGGGTAAGAAGGGTAACTTCTCTCTGGACAGTTAGAAGGATCTGGGAAGGGTCTCTGCCATGTCTCCCTGGTTCCTCTTTAGCTTCTTCCCTGTGACCCTGAGAGCTTCCCTTGGGCTTGGTTCTGCACTGGCCCTAGCTGAGTTCTACGAAGTCCAGGATGGGGCAGGGGTTTGGAAAGATCTGCTCCACGAACGTAAAGGTAGCTCTAAGCATAAGGAAAAAGCACCTGTGAGTGGGTAAGAAACAGCAGGAAGACTAATTCTGCCCTCATTCAGCTGTTAATTTCCCTCCCTACACCTCTCTTCCCCTTTGGATGATGCAAAACAGTGATGGCTTCAGGCCAGGCTAGGTACAGCTCCCACTGAGGCCAGCAAAGAGCACAGGGACAAACAGAACTTGAGTGTGATTCTGTCTGAACAGGAATTTAGAACAAAGGTGTCCTGCTCAGCTGTCCCCTGGAGTCTGACACCTAGGGCACCATAGGAAGGAGCCCCACAAGAGAGCAAGACCTCTCTGTCCAAGGCTCTGCAAGGGAAGGTGTGGTTATGACCTTCAGATTCTCCAGGTCACTCTGGTACTTCTTTTGTAGTGTGGCCATACCACCCTTGAGGTCTTTGTGCTCTAACTCCTCCTGCATTGTGTCCGTCTGTGCCTCCAACTCCTGGATGCGCCTGTGGAGATGAGCTGCAGACTGAGCCACCCCTTCCGCCTGACCAGATGGCCAGTTTGGGGAGGGTGGAGGCAGGGGGCTGGGAGCTGGCAGGGTTCCAGGGTACTGCTGCTGGTAATGGCTGAAGGTCTCCTTTAGGAGCTGCAGGTTCTGGGAATAGTGCCCTTGCAGTATCTGTAGCTCTTCTGCATGAATACCCTGCAGTTCCTTTATCTTGAGCTGGAATCGGTCTTCCAGGGTCTGCATCTGCTGCTCCAGGACCTGCCTATCTCTGGTGGAGGTGTCCAGTTGGCCTAGGACACAGCTATGCTTGGCCTGGCTGGGCTGCTCCACTATGCTCAGCAGCTCCTCTGTGTGCTGGCCCTGCAGGGGGATCATGACCATGCTTTGCCTGCTGTCCACTGCCTCCAGACAGTGGTGCTGATGACTGAGCTGTGAGACCCTAGCTGTAAGCTCTGCATTTTCCCTTTCAATGACAGCAATCATTTCCAGGTATTGACTCTTCTGCTTCTGGAGAAGTTCCTCATACTCCTCCCGCAGTGCCCTGAGAGCCTGCAAGTGCTCCTGGCAGGGACTGTCCCCACTTTGCCACGAGTCCTTGTATGCCTGGAGCTCTTTCTTGTACGCCAGCCTGATTTTGCAAGCAGCATAACACACCTGAGCCTGAATGATGGCATCTTGGACTAATAATGAAGAATACTGACCAAGGCCTCCCAAACAAGTGCTGAAGGAAAGCATCTGTGAGGCTTGGAGAAGCTTCCGACAACCACTCAGTGATTCCACAGAAGGAAGGCATGTGAGAGCAGTGGATATCTCCCCCAGGATATGCGCCTTGGCTTTCAACTGCTGGGCAAGTTCTTCCTGCACAGACATCTGAAAGGGTTCTCTCAGGATCTCCCCTAGGGAGCTCAAGTCCCAGAACTGTGGAGCACCTTCTTCGGTATCAGCTTGGAGCCCGAGAGCTTGTGAAGCTTGCTCCATCACTTTGTCAAAATCTGGTGAGTGGGAGGCGCCCAAGATTTCGCTCAGCATGCATCTGAGCCGCTGCAGGGCCACCTTGGCTCTGTGCAGATTCTCCTGGACGCGGCTCAGTCTGTGCTGAAATGACTCCCTCATTGACTGTGTGACGAAGCTGAGCTCAGCCCTGACCAGCACTGAATCTGCCACTGTGGGGACCAGCTCAGGCGAGAAGCCCTGCCACCCCCTGTCAGTGGTATCCACTGTCTCTCCTCTTAGCGTCACCAGATGCTGGCTGCTCAGTGATTCAACCTGGCTCCAGAATTCTCCATCCATCAGCAACTTCTTTGCCAAGGAATCTGCCAAAGGCCCAGGACAGGCTATAGGGCTTTCAGATTCCAGGAGCAACCCTCCTGACTGAGAAATCTCTTGTAGGACACAGGCGATATCAGATGTGGTGTTTTTTAAAGAGTCTGCAATCTGATTGATCAGTGAAGCTTCCAGAGCTATCTGATCTGAGAGGAGTTTCAGCTGTTCCTGCTCAGTCAGCTCACGCGACCAGTGCTGCTGCTGAGCAGGGGGCCTCTCTTCTTGCCGACAGCCCCCATCCTCACGTGGAGCAGGGCTTGTGCCGTCTGTGGGAGCTGAGGGGGACTGTAGAATCTGGATAGCATTGGCCAGCGTGCTTTCCATGCTGGCCAGAGAGGCACTATGCCCTTCTTCCTGGCCTGGCCTAGGCAGAGATCTTAGCTGCTCACGGCACTTTTCTAGGCAGGTAAGGGCCTGACTATTTTTCACCTGGAAGTGCCCAAGCTCTCCAGCATGGCTCTCTGTGAACAATGCCTTCCCCTGTCTCTCTTGCTCCAGCTGGGAGGCTAATGCACCAGCTTGAGCGAGGCTGGCACGGAGCTGTTCTCGGAGCTGTGCCTCAGTGCCTGCCCACTGGTGGTGTAGGGCCACTAGGGCCTCCTGATCTCGGCCACGCTGACTCTCCAGCCTCAGGGTTACATCCTTGAGCTTCTCCTCTGTGATGTAGAGCTTAGTCTCTAGAGAGTGTATGATAGAGAGATAGGTGTCTGCATTGCCAGGCCCTGGGAATGGGCCAGGTGTGGGCTCGGACGACATACTTTCCTCTGAGAGTGAGCGGTCCTGGCTGGTATCAGAAGAGGTGCTGCTAGCCCAGGTCTTCTCCGACCCATCAAGGTGGATGTATTTTTGACACTGGATTGTGGAGAACCGGATTCTTTGTCTTTTAATGCCTGATATCCCTGGGTCGGGCCTTGCCATGTTCTGTAGGTGCCCCTCACTGTCAGGCACTTCTGATCTCAAAGGCATAGTGTCATCTTCTCCACTGGGGCTGCCCGCCCCACTGTCCTCTCCCAGGCCAGTCTCTGGGTCCTTGCCTTTGGGCCTTGTGTGTGGGATGCCCACAGGAATTCCCTCAGGCAGGAGGTGCTGGCCCAGATGTGCGGTGCCAGCACCATCTGCCCCCAGGGTGATGTGCGGCTCTTGTCCCTCCTTTGAAGACACATCTCCTAACTTCCTGAGCATCTCCTCCTTTGCCTGAAGCTTTATCTCTGTCTCCTCCAGACTGCTCCCCAATGCTACCATCTTCACCAAGGCCTCGTTGAGGTCCTGCTCTTTCTTTTCCATGACTCTCTGGTGCAGGTCCTTGATGCGTCCGAGCTCCTCTTCCCTCTCCCGCAGCAGAGTGTGCATACGCTGCAGCTGCCCAGACACCTCCCCGAAGGAGCACTCCAGGCTCTGATAGTCAGCCTCCCGCCCTCTCAGCTGTGCCTGCAGAGCAGCAATGTCCCCATCAGACACAGTGGCCTGTGCTACCAGCTCCTGGAAACTCTGCCTGAGGAGGTTGCACTCATCTTGGAGGCCCTGCACATGCTCGGCAAGCTCCTGGATGTTGGCCTCTTTCTTTTCGAGCTGTTCCTCCAGCTGGTGCACACGCTCACTGTCCTCAAACTTAGCACTCAATTTCTCCTTCTGCAGCACTTCCACCTGCTGCTCACGGTCTCGTAGCCGGTCCTCATAGGCACTGACCTTGTCCTCTACCTCCTTTAAGCTCTTCAGCAACACCTGCTTCTCCTTCTCGCAGCTCTCCAGCAGCAGCTCATAGTTCCTCTGTAGCTTCTCCTCCATCAGCCTCTGGGCTTGCTCGCTGGTGCCAAGCTGCTGGCTGAGGCTGGCTATTCGCTCCTGCAGCCGCTGCACCTCTCTCTGCCTGTCCCGCTGCAGTGCTTGCTGGGTCTCCAGGTCCCGCAGCTCCTGCATCTTCTCAAGCAGGAGGGCTTCAGCGCTCTTGAGCTTCTGCTCGCTGGCCTTGAGCTGCCCACTCAGTGCGGCCTCACTATGCTGCCACTCCTCCAGCTGTTCTCGGACCTTGTCCTTCTCCAGCTTCAGGTCACTTTTGAGTTTGGCCAGTGCCTGTTCCTTGATGGCCAGCTCGGCAGTGGCATTGCTCAGTCTTGCCTGGAGGCTTTGGGCCTCAGCTTCATGGTGTCGGATAGCGTCCTTAGCTTCCCCGTAGCTGTGTTTCAGGGCCTGAATCTGCTGATTGACCAGCTCCTGGCGCTGGCACTGGGCTTCTAGCTCGCTTTGGAGATCTTGGTTGACTTTATGGAGCCTCTGCCAGGCGCTGGGCGGGGAGGTGGCCACTTCAGTCTTAAAAAAACCGATTAGATACTAGGTTAGTAGCACTCTGGCCTTCTGATTCTGAGTGTCACACCTCTGACCAGGATTACCATGGAAAAGATCCTGGGCGAGTTTTGGCTTTTTTCCTTTGCACATATTTTTCCTCATTAAATAATCCAATAAGTCATCTTTCTTTTTTTTTTTTTTTAAGTAGGTGCTTTCAGGTAAACAGAAAACACAGACAATAACATCAAAACAGCTCTAACTGAATAGCTTCTAGAAGAAATAAACCAAACAGAACTGAATGATGGAGCACAGGATAAGCAAAACGAGGATCCCAGCACACGAGATGGTGGGAAGAAGGGCACAGGGGAGGAAAAGAGAACTTGCATTTGTTTGTTTGTTTTGCAAAACAAAAACACACAATTCTAGACAACCAGTCCTCAAGGAGTGCAGGGGAAGGTGTCAGGGGCAGATGTCGAAGGCTACTTCCTTCTATGACCGTAGAAGAAGGAAGGAAGGAGACTACTAGATGCCAGTATTATGACAAACAAAGCATTTTCTTTGGAAATGCATCCAATGCTACAATTAACATAAACTCTCTACCTTTAAGAAAACAAATGGGACGGAAGGGTTGAGAACCATGGAGTGAAATGTAATAAACAACAAAACAAACAAACCTTTGAAAAATTAAAAATAAGAGAGTAGAGCATGCAAAAAACAAAACAAAACCAAAAACAAAGGAAATAAAATGTCCCAAACTGAAAGACATGCAGAACGGACAGAACTACTGTAATTTAGAGGGGGAGAAACAAAAAACATGGACAAGGATGAGAGGAACAGCCCAGCCTAGAACCAGGCCTGCCGCATGGCAGCAGTGTACTGGCAGGGGAGCCACAGATGTGACACTCAGTTACGGTCAATTCCACTCCATGCTCATGTCCCAACCATGCACATCCCGCCCCCCAGCATGGGTAAGTGTGTGCCCACCCAGCATGCAAGTCATGCCCAAATCTGACTTTTGGTCGTAAGTGTTACAGAGCTCTGAGTGTGGTGACACCTGAGCAGGTGCCCAACTTCCTGCCAGGGGCGAAGACAGCACCCCTCGACTGCCTGTGGGGCTTCAGGGTGGACTCAGGCCTTGGCCCAAACAGGCCCTCAGGGCAGAAATGTGCAATGTCTGCTCCAACATCTTCAACAGAGCCTGGCATAGCTTAAGGAGGTGCTCCCTACACCAGAATGAGGGGCACAAACACCTGGAAAGTCTTCAGAAGCAGAGAGATGAAGGCTGCACATCCTCACCAGTGCTTGGGCCAGAGAGTCTAAACTGGACATGGTGTGGCAACAAACAGGCCACACCCACCAAGGGGGATGGCTGTAGTAAAAAGAGAAAAATCAGAGTACAAAATGAAGACAAAGGGAAAATACAACACATGGGAAAGAACAGAGAAAGGCCAAAGGGCCAAGTCTGACAGAAGGTGGCTGAGGAGAGGAAGGCCCAAAGCTCTACAGACACCGTGTCTCAGAAGCACAAGGTACTGGCTTCAAGGAATGTGCTGGCCCAGGCCAGGTGGCTTGTCTACTGGACAAGGCATACACCTGCCTCCTCTTTACCACAGACTCTGGATTAAACATGGTGTCTTCTTCAAGAACGTGAGTTCTCAGCACAGATCCTTTCCTATGTTCTCCCAGCACCTCCTAATCAGCAAACTGCAGGCAGCATGAACTTTGTTTTTGTTGCTCTGGGTACGTGTGGAGTAGGAGCCCCACCGCAGAGGTGACACTGCCAGCTCTCTACACTGGACATCTGCTGCAGGGCGGCGCAGGCAGCATCCTTTTCACCCTGCTTCTCTTGGAGTTTGGCTTCTGGAAATATTCCTGGAGTGGTGGGCAGGGTTGGGTGCTGAGCTGTGCAGGGCTGGGCCTGCCCAACTGTGCTGTCTGGGAATGTATATAAGGATTGGCCCAGTCAATCATGGGATGACTAGCTTCCAACACTGACTATAAACTACTCTTCTTGGTCTCAGGACAGTCTTCCATCCTGGTTGTACCACAAAAATCTCAACAGCCAGGTCCTGAGGTGGTTGTTGTGACCCAAGGTCCTTTGTAAGGCAGAGGAAACAGGGTGTGTATACTCCACATGTGCTTCCTGTGCTGGTACTGGCTGGGCACACAACTGGCACCACACCAGAGTCCACAGGCCAGCTTCTTCCTTGGTGTGGGAATCTCCTCTCTTCATCCCAGAGGCCACCTGCCCAAAGCAGGATGTAGCTCCTGGGGACTCCTGCTGCATGAAAGCATTCAGCAGGTCACTGGCCCCACAGGCCAGGCAACTGGTGTGGCTAAGTACAGGCTGAATCACTGTGGCTCCCATCTATGCTCATCGGCTCAGATCGTAGATGCCACACCTCCACTTGGGCAGAAAGTGAAAGGTGAGGTCCTGCTTAGGGGTGAGACAGTTGTGGCACTGGTTCTGGCTCCAGGTCTGCCAGTAACATGCCCAGCCCTAAGCCAGGTTCTCAAATGTTGGTTTCTGTCTATGCAAACTGCAAGATTATCTGTTTACATAGTCTTTCAGTGCAGAGGTTCGGGCAGAGCTGGGAGGAGAGAAGACAGGAGGCTCCTCACCTTAAAGTGCCCTCCTGAGGAGCCAAGCAGGGTGCTACACAGTCAGACTTTGCACATTCCTACCCTGTGGGTGCCAGAGCTCGCCCTGAAGCCCAGTGTCCACATGGTGGCCAGGCCATACCTGCAGCACGTAGCCCTCCCGTGCACTCTGCTCCCGGCCCAGAGCCATGCGCAGCTGGTCCTGGAGAAGTCGGTTTTGTTCCAGGAGTTCGGAGGCCTCTTTCTGACTCTGTTCCAACTGTTGGTAAAAAAAAAAAGATACACATTTATAATGGAAATGGCAACCACGAGCAATGTAGTGGACAGCAAAAGGCAGCAGCCGCAATCAGCTCTTGGGGGACTGCAGAGCACAGCAACCTTTGCTGTGGTCTCTTGGTTCTTGAGTAATTGCCACAACTTCTCACATGATCCTAATGTAGAGTTATGTTAACTCATGAAAGTCTCCTGAAGGGCAAATGGCTGAACAGAATGTGATATATACACTCAGGTAGAAAGAGATATTAGATCCTAAAACATGCCGATGAAAGGACGTATGACTCAAAAGAAAAAAAAAATATACTCAAAAGGACAAATACTGAGTGATTTCCCTTATATGAAATAACCAACTGCTGTGGTATGTCAAGTTGGAACTGATTCACAGCTGACCCTCCACTGGGTTTTCAGAGGCAGTAAGTATGGGGGTGGGGGGCAGAGACTGTCCATCTTTTTCCTTTATAGCAACTTGTGGTAAAACTTATATTAGTGATTACCACAAGAGAGAGAAAGAAGTTTTTGCTGAGGGGCACTGAGTTTGTGTTAATAGTGGTGAAATAATCTGGAAAAGGACATTATTATGGACAGGTCTGAATCTCTCTCAAGTAGATATCAGCTTGGCTGGGTTATCAGTCTGTAGCTGGCAATTGTGGCCTGATGTGCCCAGGATGTGCTCTGATTTGATAAACCTAATAGGTGTAACAAGATTATGGGTATAATGCAATCCCTTATCCCATCACAACCCTGATTTGAGATTCCCTAAGATGTGACTTGCAACACCTTTTATCTTCCAAAAGGTTAAAATGAGAGAGAAGTAGCAAAGAAAGAGAGGAACCTATTACCAATCCAGCAAGAGCGTGTTCTATGGACTCAGGAAGACTGACGCTGAAGTGCAGGGACATATCTGCTGAATGCTGGGCCTACAGATGCAGAAAGGAGACAGGGCCTTTTTCCCAAATTCTGAGTCAGCAGAGAGGGATAGCCTCCTCCTACAGATAGCCATGTGAACTTCAACGTCTAGCCTCCTAAATCGTGAAAGAACAGGATCCATTTCTGTGTGCTACAGATACTGATGGTATCTGTAATTAATAAAAAACAAAAACTGAAAGCCCAAACCAAACCAAAGCAAACACTGCAAATCACACCTTGTGGCTGGGACAGAACTAGGAGGCAAGATAGCGACTGAGGACCTGGACCCAGAGCAGAGACAAAGCACAAGGACCCTACGCAAGAGCCCACCTGGGTCTACTCCAACATCAGCACACAGACCCTTCAAGGTGCTCCTGCTGCTCCCTCACCTGGGCTGCGAACCCAGCAGTGCATGCATGAATGACTTCCTGCTTCTTATAGCTCCAATCTCCTGCTTTCATCCAACCGTCCCTTCCAGGGAGCACCCAAGTAGTTAGGAGTCAGTTTCTTCAGCAGGGAGGGTTTGGAGGGGAATATATAGGGTTATTAAAAAACACATGGAAATACCTGACTGGTAAACACTGAAGACTTGGCTTTACTCAAAACTAAAACTCAAACCTTAGGATGGAGCAGAAGCATACCACAGTGTCCATGGCTGTAGTCTTTACAGTAGACTGCCACGTCTTTCCCTTCAGAGTGACAGGTGGGTTTGAACTGCTCACCATTTGATTAGCAGTGTGTGCTTTAACTCCTCCACTCCCAGGGCTCCTAGACCACTACCTAACAGGCTGAGAGAATCTCAGTGTGGTCCTTGTGCATGACCAGCTGGGACCGCCACTGCAGCAACAGCAGAATGCTAGGATTCTGAACTGTTATTTCATCCAGGCTTGCCTTTATTGTTTTATTAACCAGAACAGAACATGGGGAAACGCAAGTGCTGGTTAGTAGCGAAAAATGTAGGCCTCTGACATTTAATAAAAGGGGGAAAGATGAGACGTGTTAGGCATGCCAAAATGATAGTTTTTTTCCTTTCTCTTATGTAGCAAAACATCACTGATTCAGTAATTTCTACATATATAATTCAGTGACAGTGATGATTTAATTTGTATATTCTCCAGCTCTTTTTTCTGAGTTTGCTTATTAGCATAAACTTAATCTTCAAGTTGCTATTTTCACTTTGATCCTCATAAAGATGATTTTTTTTAAAAAGCACAATGGTTAAGGCAGGTGTAGAGGGGGTGTGTGTGTGTGTGTGTGTGTGAGACAGAGAGACACACATACACACAGACCAGTTTAGCTAAACTACTGTTTGGTTTAGGCTTCAGGGGATACTTTTACATTTTAAAGATGATCTCAGGGCAATAGTTTCAGGGGTTCATGCATACTTCATGCCTCCAAAAAGTCTGGAGTCCATGAAAATTTGAAATTGGGTTCCACATTTTTCCCCTTTGGATCAGGAATCTTCTGGATAAATTTTGATCAAAATGGCATTAGCCACACCTTCCACATCATCCTTCTTTTGTTGTTCCAGGTCAATAGAGACTAACAGCAGTACCCTGAACAGTCAATTAGCTTTGACAACTCTATGTGTTACTCTACAGACTAGAGCACGAAACATTTTGGAAGCAAAGTAGTGAAGTCTTTGGCCTTTGAGAGCTATGTGCAAGAGCATCTTTGAACCATACTACTAATGACTGCATTTTGATAATGTGTAGTACCTTGGACATGGTCCTTTCTGTGAAGACTCCATAGTTCAAAGCTGGTGGATACACTTTTACTCAAGAAGTCTGTATGTCACAAATGTAAGGGGGCTGCTTGCTCACCTCCCATCCTGAGGGCCTGAGTGGGCCCGACAGGAAGCAGCCTCAGCAGCCACATGATTAAAGGTAAATTTAAACAGGTTCCAGACCAGCTGCCAGAATGACACCCATACCTCACCAGGGTGGCAAGAAACTACCTTGGCCATTCCTACTGGCCATCTCCACTCACAGCCTTCAATTTCATACCCTAAACATCTAGAATCCTGCCACTGTCCCAACCTACTCCCTCATTCAGGACACTAGGAGCAGTGCCAAAGCATCGAGGTATCCTGGCCACATCCATCGTTAGCCAGTCTATGCTGCCTGCAGCCCAAACCCGAATCTGGTCCTGTTTCAACCTAGTAACCAGGTACCAAGCTACTGAAATCGCCACTCCACTGGCCATACTTGATCCCAAGGTCAGCAATGATCCCTCCCCACCTAACAGCTATACCTGAGAGAGCCAGGACATCCGCATCCTTTCTAGTTGACTGCTTCTCTTCTTGCACTGGGGCTGCCCATGTCATTAGGGGAAGTGGTATGTAACATGAAACACCCGAAGCAAGCCCCTCCCGCCTTGCTATTACCTCTTTTTCTAGCAGAGAGGTCAGCTCCTGTGTGGGGAGCTGGTCGTTTCCGTACTCAGAGGGAACCAGGTGCAGGGGGGCGATGGGCACTTGCTTCTCTTCTCGAAGAGGGGTGGTTTCCACCTGATGCCAACGCTGTTCAATCTCTACATGGACGCTCTGTGTCTTGAGGTCTGAGGTCATGGGCAGCACTGAGCTTCGGTCAACTTCCATCTGAAAGATCACGTCATCAGTCCCTGGTCCATCCACAGTGTCTAGGGCCCCAAAACGACGGCGGCGCTCCTCCCGGCGACGGGTACGTTCTCGCTCCAGCTCCCATTCCTCTGGGTCCACCTCAGGGCATTTGGACTCCTGGGCATCACCGAGGCCTGCGGCACGGGCTCTCTCCTGGGCCAGGGCTTGCTGCATAGGGCGGAACTCAGCCCAATCAAAGGTCTTGGAGCGTCCCTCACGCCTCCGCTCTCGAGCACGACTTCGTCTCTGCTCTGGATCCGGGTCCCCAGAATCACCCTCCTGCTTCTCACTCGGCCTGGGGCAGGGCTCAGAGGCACTGCTCTTGTTCTTCTCTGGCAACGAGCTGGTGGAACAAGGACACAGCATCTGTCAAATGGCTGTTCATAACCACCACCTGAGACTGTAATAACAAAGGAACCCGCTGGGGCTTTGAGTGTCTCTCCTCCTCCTCCTTCTCAGACAATTCAAACTTGACTATGTGAGGATGGTGAAGGAACAGGAGGAGCCACAGGTGGCCCAAGGAGCTCCAGCCTGGGGAATCCAGATAGATGGGGGTCCTCTAGGCTGACAGATGATGTGACATAAGTGTCTTAATGGCCTGACCCCCAGAGTGGAGAGGACAGGGAGTTCCAGGAAGGGAGGAGCAAGCCCTGCGAGCCTTACCCAGGCCGTGGTCAGCTGCCTCACAGTCATGTCATCTACAGCTGTCACTTAGACTCCCAGGAAGGCTGGCCACCCCCGAGATGTCACAGTGAGGGCAGTGGCAACCACTTCCTTAGGACTTCCCTAGATGACTTCTCTCACAGAGAGGAGAGGGGTATTAAGCAGGAAAGAGCACGATCAAATCTATGATTTAAAATGGTTTAGCAGCTAGCATGAAAGATGGCTCAGAAAGAATGGCTACAGGTTACATTGGGTGAGTGAGATGGCTCAGGTGACCAGGCAGGCCCACCAGGCAGTCAGAAGCTGAGGGGTCAAGGAGGTGCCAGATTTCTCATGAAAACTGCAAGTGGTAGAATGAACCCTCAAGAACACCGGGGAAGTGAGGGAAGGAGGGCTGGAATAGTTCTCAACCATAACCTCAAACCTCTTTGCTGCTGACTCGTAAACAGCTCACTGGTGGCTCTCCAGCTGGTTTTCAAGGCTATAAACTGCAGGAGGTAACACTGTCCAACTTTTTCCAGAGGAATTCTTGATGGATTTGAACCACTAGCAACCAAAGGTCCTGCTATTAGGAGTCAGCAGTGCAACCTCCTACAGACACCAGAGTTCCCATACTCAGCTACAATGTGAAATAAAGATGCTGATTCATGCAACCATAAGGACAACCCTTAAAAAGCAGTACACTGAGTGAAAGAAGTATGTTACAAAAGAACAAATATGGTACCATGCCATGTAAATAAAGTATGTAGAAGAGACAAATGCAGAGAGATCAAAGCTCATTAGTGATTAGCAAGGGCTGGGAGAGGAGGAAACAGTTATTGCTGACTGGGGATGGAGTTGATGCTTGTAGTCATGAAAGGCTTTGGAAATGGACAATGATGGACAATGATGGTGGTTGTACAACATGGTGAACGTAATGAACATCACAGAATTATGTTAAAAATAGCTAAAATGGCAAATATATGGTTTGCCACAACAGAATTTGAAAAGAAGGAAATAATTAATTTTGGTTTTCCTTCCTTACTTTTTGTTCAAAGTGGTCTAGAGTTTGTATGAGAAGGCAGGTTTAGGAAAAGGTCCAGAATGGCGAAGGAGTGGGGGGATGCCGGCAGGTAGTGACATCCACACCCACATGGACACAGCACTTGAGAAGACTGTGGTTGGAGGTTTTCAAACACAAAGCAGCTACAGGCCCAGGCTGGGAAAGGAGCATCCTGGTCTTCCCAGCATCAGCCAGAAAAGGAGTCTTCTCTCTAGCAGGTTCCTAATTTCAGGGACAGGAGGCAGGAGGCATGCATGATGTGAGGGACACAAGCCACAGGGCAGTAACACAGGAGGGAAAGCAATTTTCCAACCTGGGCTTCAGCACCCAGAGCTTGGAGAAGTCTTCCAGCTATTTCTGCTTCTGGAGAAGTTCTTCCTACTCCTCCTTCAGAGCCAAGAGAGCCTAGAAGTGCTCCTGGAAGGGCGTCCTCACTCTACCATGACTCCTACAGGCCTGAAGCGCCTTGTCATACAGCAGCCCAATTTTGCAGGCTGCTTTATAACGGCATCTGAACACGAATGATGGCTTCTTGGACTAATACTGAAGAATACTGACCAAAACCTTGGAAACAAGTGCTATAGGTGGCTTGAAGTGGTGCCAAGCAGAAAGAAGCATGGCTCCAGGGCCCTAGACCAGCTTACCTTGTCACATCAGGTGCGTTGGTTGGGTGGATGTGCTTCATGATGGTCTGGATCCAGTTCCTACGGATCCCTGATGTCATGGCAGAGAGGGAAAATTTACCTTCTTTTGTCTGCAAAATAGAGAAGTACAATCAGTGACTCTTCAAAATGTGCCCATTACCCTGGTGCAGGGTAACCTGTGGTTAAGGAGCTGCACTACTTAAAGGTAGGCAATTAGAATCCACCAGATGCTGAGGGAGAAAGATGGGCAACTTTCTCCGTGTGATTTAAGCTCTGAAAACCTGTTGAAGGGTCATCTCTGGGTCAAGTACGGCAATGGGTTTGTATGTATTAACCCCTAGCACTGGCAGTCCTGTTGAGGCACAGCTGGGCAGGATAGTATTACCAAGAGCTCTGCACTTAGAGGGGGAAGAGGACGCACAAAGTAGCAGAGATAGGAAGGCACACCTACAGCTCTCATTCACACTCTCAGGGAATCTCCTCCTTTCCAGTAGGATCTACCAGATGTCGACAGGTGATACTTTGCTGAGAACAGAGTCGAGTAGGGACAAGGAGGCTCTTCCTTTCTGGAGATCAAGAGGGGAAAGTCAGAAGAACGGCACAGGAAGATGTGTGTGCAGTCAGCAATGGTGAATGAAACTGCTCAAAAGGGCAGTGTGGGGCTGGTCTTATGGGCAACAAAGGATGGCAGGTGCATATACAAGTGGCCACATACCCTGGGCAGGGTACACAGAATGAGGGTCTTGTACTGTACAACAATATGGCAAGTTCTGAAGTATGCACACTGGCATGTGGGGTGACAAGGGAGAAAGGCAGAATTCCTATTCTGGCCAGAAGGCAGGGGTGCTGTGCTGGGGAAAGGCCGGGCAGGTGGCTGTGGCAGGGGCACAGGGGTGGGGATTAGGTGGTGGTGGTAGCGGCAAAGAAGCAGTGGTTCAGAGTCGTCAAGCAGGCAGAGTGAACAGCCTCCAAGGGTAATATGATAGGCCTTGGAGAGAAGGGAAGCACCTCCTTCCTGGGCTGCTCCTAATCCCAGGAAGGGTGAAGTAGGACTGGTAGGGCCTTCTGTAGGGTGGGTGCTGCTAGGGGCAGATCAGGTGGGAGACCAGTACACTCAGCTTTACTATAAACCGGGGGAGTTTGGAAACAGAGGGCAAGAGACTGGCAGGATGGGTACTGAGGGCAGGATGAAGGTTGTGGCCCCAGCTGTGGACTGAACCTGAGGCAAAAAGGTAGGGACTATCTTTCTTTGCACCTCCATCCTCTTTTTACATATGACACTTCAGTGCTGTGCTTTCAGGTGCTCAGCCAGCATACATTAGCCAATGGGAAGATAGAGTCCTGAAAAGGTATGGGGGGTTCACTGCTTGGCAGGCACCCCAAGCCAGCTGGTGTTGCTTCCACCAGCAGATCCCACAATATTCTCTTCACAATAGAGGGTCCCTGTGTAAAGGTAGGGGAGTGATGTGGCTGGGTGGGATGCCAGGACCCTGCACTCCACACACTTGTCCTCCTAAGGTCTCTCACTCTGTTTACTCTCCCTGACTTCACCTCTCCCAACTAGTACGTGCTCTTTCCCAGCTGCGACTCCTCCTCTTTCCTCCACACTAGGTCCCTCACAATCACCATCCTTCCCACCTCTGGGTGTGCAGCTAGGTGGGATTGGGCTGAGAAGAGTGGAAGTCACAGGGAGGGAGGAGACGGAGTGCAAGGTGAGTTCTAAGGGATCTGCATACTTCACCTGTGGTCTTGCTGCAGGAGAAATACCTGTAGCAAATTGTTCAGGGCCAGGAGCTACCCTAGTGATAGATCCTTTTGGTCCTCAGTGAAGCTACCTAAAGAAACCTGCTACTTAAGATAGAGCTAGGGAATCTCAACTTGGAGCCTGGCAGGCTCTATCTGTGATGTCGCTAGAGAGGCAGCCTGGAATCCAGCTTACTTAGCATTTCTACTCTTCCACAGTGACAAGAGGTAAAGACCAATAGGCATCTTAGCTTGAGGCCACTGGCCACTAACACCACCCTTCCCTGGACCTAGGACAAACTCAGCCCACACCACAGACCAGGAGAAGCCAGGTCTACTAGAGAGCCTGGCAGCTGATCTCCTCATAGCACTGTCACACTACCCGACGGCCAGGGGATGGGTTTCCTTTAAGTCTGGTGACCATGAGTCAGTTATAACATGCCCGATGGACTCTGAATATGGTGACATAATGGAATTTCTGTATCTTCGAACAAAGGAACCCAAACAGGGCTCTAGGATTCAGGGTTCCAGTAAGTCTCAGTGCCGCAGGAAGTGTCAGCCAGCCATCCCCACCTGCCCTGGGCTGTAAAGGTGCTTGAGCCACACTACCAAGGGAAGGCCAACAAATGTAGATTCAACTTCCCAAAGAGATGAGTTATTTGAGGGCAAAGGCTGCCTTAATCATTACTGAGGTCCTCACAAGGTTTGGGGAACAAAGAAAGACCTGGGAATGAGTGAGTGAATGAGTAAGTTGCATAAAGCCCCTGAGATTTAAAGAACCAATAAACATTTTCATTCTGACTACCCTTATCTCACATCCTACTCAAACGTCAATAACAAGAAGGTAAAAAAAAAAGTCTTCTATGACAAAAAGTCTCTAAGAAATCAGGAAAGGAAAATGGTCTAGTTTTTGGTTCTGATCACAACTTGGGTTGAGGAATGGGGTCACAGGATGAAGCAAGAACAGGAATAAAGTGTCAGTACTAATGAGAATGATAACAGGGCAGGCAGACATCCGAGAAGGAAGTGACTTGCCCAGGTAAGGACCCAGAGCCAGGACATCAGGCTTTCAGGAAAAATGTCCTGCTTTATGAGCCAAACCACACCATCCCACCTCCACACCATGTCTGTGTCTGAGCCCAGTTCTCTGTGCATACATGTATTTGAAAGCCATAATTTCTCTGGACTGGATATTCGGTGACATTGTAACATGTAGCCAAGTCAATTTCTCCATCCAGGTCAGCTGCCTGCAGAGAGAAATGCAAGGATATTAAGTGAGTACCAGTGTGACCCAATTTCCGCAGCAATGCCTGAATGAATTTTTATCTTTATATTTTATACAAATATGTGTGTTTTTCCTAGCACCTATCTCACCCTTCCTCAAAGCACTCACATGGCTGGATCACCCTGAGTGTCCTCTCAGAGACATCTATCTATCAGTTTCAAATAGTGTGGGAAGCTTTCACAACCTCAAAAATGAGTGAAGACTTCCACTGCTCCCAATTTATGACATATCCAAGTTACAATGAACTGTACTCAGAGCAGTCTTTTTTTGGGTACATTTTATTGTTAGCAGTATGTACTATAAATAATGCTACAATGTATCTGTTAGTATGTCAATTTCCAAAGGCAAAGAAAGATGGGATTTATAAAGACACTGATCTGATAATAAAAGGTAATACTGAAACAAAGCAAAACAAAAGAGGTATTATGCTTATGTTGGAAAAGATTTATGATGGAGTCACTGGGAATAGTTTTAAGTTGGGTAATACCTGTATTTATGATAACGATGATATAAGCAATTAAAAGAAGAAAATGTTAAAATTACAGCTCTGTCCTATAGGTGGTGTGGGAGTGAGGAGCCTGGTATGCAGATCTTCCTTCCTCTACATGGAGGGACTTTTGAGAATCCTCAAAGACAGAAAAGGGGGAACGCAGACTTGGCAAAGACTTGTTTGTAGTTAAAGAGATTCTCTTCTAGCAGGACTCCATCAGTGAAATAAGGACTTCCAGGGAGATCAACATAGCTCATACACCACAGTACACTCTCTCCCAGAAGTTAAGATTTTCACCAATTCTTCCAATGACACAACTCCCCCAAACTCCTGATTTTCCCAACTAAGACATCTGTGAAGGTGCTTAGAGGACAGAGGAGGAGAACTGTGGAGAATGCATACTGGATACCTACTACAGACCAGGTGTGACTCAAGCACTCCAGGTGAATGGTCACAGGACCCCAAATACAGCTGTTCTGTTCTCACTCCCTCCCTCCGTCCCTCCAGCTCTGGTCAGGACAGTCACAGTGGACAGAGGCACTGGGAGACTTATCACCCTGCAGCAGCTCAGGCACTCACCTCCTCAGCCACTGAATCCCTGTAGTACCTCAGGCTTTGATCTGCCAGGACAAACCAGTGTTTCTTCCACTAACAGGGAAAACAAAAGACTTAATATCAGGCAGTGTACCTCTAGCTCCACGATGACCTCGTCTCTGAGAGCGGCTAGCAGCACTCAGCAGATGCTGTGCAGTCAGGCAGCCCTCACTCACATTCTGGGGGGCCAGGGAAGTTGACTTCTCTTTGTATGACACTGGAGCCCACAGGGGCACCCAGATACAAAATGCTTTGAAATTCTCATACTTAAGCTCCACAGATGTTGACAGTAGGCTTGTTTGTTGTTGTTATGTGCCGTCAAGTCGTTTGCGACTCATAGCGACCCTATGTACAACAGCCCTAAACCGTGCTCTATCCTGTGCCAATCTCATTGCCTCTGACACACCCATCCCGAGTACCCCAGTCACTGAATCAATCCACCTCACAGAGGGTCTTCCCCTCCTGCGCTGTCCCTCCACTCTACCCAGCATGATGTCCCTCTCTAAAGACCTGTCTCTCCTTAAAACATGTCCAAAGTATGTCAGACGAAGCCCCAGAATCCTTGCCTCCAAGGAGCAGCCTGGTTTAATCCTCTCTAAGATGAATCTGTTTGTTTTCTTGGCAGTCCATGGTACATTCAATACTCTTCTCCAGCACCACAGCTCAAAGGCGTCAATTCATCTTCTATCCTCTCTAGTCATTGTCCAACTCTCTGATGCATAACAAGTTATTGCAAAAACCATGTATGACAGTAGGCTAGCCCATCAGAAATGACATGGGACAGTGAGAAGGGTTTTTTACGAACTATAAGAATCTGGTTGCTCAGTGACAGGGGCCCATCTTCAGCAGTCAATAGCAGATGGACCAGACAGACTATCAAGTCTTACTGTGAGCGGAAAGAAAGGAGCTAAAGAGCTTCTACATGGAGAAGAGGGCATGTCTGTGTAGTCCCCGGGGAAGCAGTGGCTGCATGTCAAGGAGCGGTTTCTACAGGTCTGTGGCAGGGGCCCAGTAGGTGCCTCTTCAATGCTGAGGGGATCAAAAGTACATGGTTAAAGACGGGGCTAGGAGGTCTATCCACAAATGGCTCTTCCTTCTTGATGAAGTACAGAGAGCGGCCTGATGATGCCAATGCAGAAAGTTGCTCTAACATTCTTCAAGTCCATGGCCCTTCTTGTTATGTGCCACAAAGTTCAGTATGACTCATAGCAACCCTAGTAACAACAGATCTGAACCTTATCCTGTCCTGTGCCATTCTCACAATCTGACACACTTGAGCCTACTGCTGCAGTCACTGTGTCAATTCATCTCATTGAGGGTCTTTCTCTCTTTCACTGTTCCTCTACGTTTCCTATCATGATGTCCCTGTCCAAGGAAAGCCTCTCCTAGTTACATGCCCAAAATATGTGAGATGAAGTTTCATCATCCTTGCCTCTGAGGAGCACTCTGCCTGCACTTTCTCCAAGACATATTTTTTTGTTCTTTTGGCAGTCTATTCAGTGCTCCTCTCCACCACCACAGTTCAAAGGCATCAATTCATCTTTTGTCATCTATTTGCACTGTCCAGTTCTCAAGTGCATAGCAAAGTGACTGTAAAGACTGACAGCAGTGCTTCTCAGTGATGTGGAGAGGTCCCTCATAGAAGACTTGCCCAATATAACATGTCTTGTGATGTCTTGACTGCTGGTGCAAAGAATGATTGTGGATCCTAGGAAGGTGAAATTATTGACCATTTCAATCTTTTCTCCATCTATCATAGTAACCTTAGTTATCCATAAAATCTGCAACAAAAATTACCCGTAACTCAACCTTCACCCAAACCATAGATAAGCCTATAAATCTGACAACATCAGGATAGTACTCAGTTCTCAGAATAATCATACAAGATCAAAAGGGCCGCATTTGCTCAGGGATTACATTTTATAAGGCAGGAAGTAGGACAGAAGAATTAATGGAAACCAGAACCACAGGGAAGAGTGTGGTTACAATGTGGTATTATAATTAATGTAATAAAGTAGAACGTACATGAATGCTTTCATAGAATACCAATTTTTTTCCCTTTTTTTTTTAAAAAATAAAACCTGTGCCAGGTTGGGCCCTAATATTGCAGAATATCACCAGGGTCTGAAATGGAGACCCTGTGGTGGGATTCCTGGAGTCTAAGGCTGAACCCTTCCACATGTCTAAGTACTGGGAGGTCCTCGCAGGATGTATTCCACAGGTAAGTGAACACATAGAAGCAAGCAGACACCTTGTGCTTGGAGACCTTGCTGAGGAGATGCCCACAAGGGGACCTCAGCCTTCCGACACTCACCTGGCCATCCTCATACTGCTTGGTCAGCCAGCCTTTCTTGAAATTCAGCAGGTCAGGCTGAAGAAAGGAGAAAATAGAATCAATCATTCAGAAGAAAACATCATTTTGTTGAGGTTGTAGGACAAGGTGCCCCTGGGAGGACACATATCTGTCCAGATGGATGGCATCTGACTGCCCAATGTGCCTGCAATCCTGAGGAGTAGCAGGGGTGAGTGCTAAGGCGCAGCTATCACAGAATTGTTTCCCTGAGGCCTGCTGGTGCTACAGGTCTGACACATGGGGAGGAAGCTCAGATGGAGAGCATCATGAGGCAGTCTTGAAGGGGACATGACAAAGGTGAGAGTGAGGCAACTACTCGAAGTTCTCTTAAGGAAGCCAGAGAGATGGAATGCTGTGCTGGAATGCGGAACGAGCATTGGCCTGTGGGCAGACGATGGCCTGTCACCCATCAGGATGCTGGTTTCCATCATCTGTAAGCAGCGCCATCAAGAGTTACCTAGTGCCTGGCATACCAACTGTTCTGTTTGGGGTCTGGTTAGAAGATCCTGAACAAAGTGGCAGAAAAATGTAGAGGAGAGTTCAAAACCATAATATAGACCAGACTAATTGGTCTGACAGAGACACTGCTGAGAATTCTGGAACTTGCCCCTTAGACACTGTTAAACCTGGCACTGAGCACATTCCCAGAAATTACCCGTCAGCAAACCTCAGACAGACCTACACCCAAGAAGAATGTTTAAGAATGTGTCTCTCACAATCAATCATTAAAGGGGAGCATCTGCTCCAAGATAAAGTCCAGAAGGCAGGGAGGGGCTGGAAAGAAGGGTGAATGAGAAGAAGGGAAGAAGCAGGAAGGGAGAGGATGGAAACCAGTATCACGAAACAAAAGGGGATAAATGGCTAAGTAGGAAATAGGTTTGGTCTGTAGACTTTCATCCAAACTCACATGTTTTGGGGTTTTTTTAAAGACAGGCCAGCACCCAGAGGGCAGCTGGCAATGCACTGTCTCCCCCACCTTCTGATGCTCCCAGATGCGCTGGTTTGGTTCAGGGAGAAGAGCATGACAGGCCTGTTTGCCCTTGATCTGCCAGGTGCCATTGGCTACCATGTGGTATCTACAAAGCATGGATCAGTTTTGCTCTGGCCCCAAGTACTCTCTGCTTTTTCTAGAACCATCTTTATCAGAAACTAGCTCTGACATATTTGTTGCAAGGACAGAGCATTAAAGAGAAGAGGTAAGAAATGAGAAGACAACATTTCACAACCATGTTCCTGGACCTTTGGGGTAAACTTCTGGGTAAAATCCACACTAAAGGAGACAATCAAGCTTCCTCCTGCTAGGGAACCTTCTTGCTCCAGGTTTTCACCTGTCCCATCTGGGAGTTCCCAGGCCATGGCTGTCCAGAGGCTCACGGTGCACCACCCACTGTGGAAGCAGCAGAGAGGCAGGGAGCCCCAAAATTGGCAGGCCCCAGGGTGCTATGGAGGCTAATGGTAAAGAGGATGACTCAGGCTTTCCTCAAGGAAACAGGAAGAGGCCCCGGCCTGCTGCTCTCACTCTCACAGGCTTTTTTTCTGAAAACGCTCTGCCCGACATGTCTTCTGTGACAAAGGCAGGGGAGGAACACACACAGAGCCCAACTCCTGAACAAGCAAAATCTGGAGCAAAGACCAGCTTCCTGCCTGTAGTGGAGACCCCAGTAAGTGGCACAACAGCGTTCAGTGAAAAACTGGCTCCTGTTTCTAAAAAAGCAAAAAGATAAGTGACAAAAATCCAGCCTACGCTCCTTGCTTCTGCTCTGCCTTGAAGTCAGGTTTCTTCTGTCAGGATCCCTGAACATCTCTGCAGAGCTCAGAATAGCTGCTGGGTCCCCCGGACTATGCTAGGAGCAAATGAGGGTCACTCAGGGCTTGTCTCTAAGTCTCGTGAGCTAGCAAATTGACTGGAAAGCAGCACTTGAATCATGGACAGAGACAGATAGGGCCAGAGGGCGGAATGAGAAGAACAGCTCCACAGGCCAGGTGCGAGCATCCGGCTGGGCTCACCGTCATGGAGGGCTCCGTAGACCTCCTGTCCAGTGACTTGGCTCTTCGGTGTGGAGACAGGGGGGGAGCTGGCACATCTAGGAGTGGGGTTGTTGGGGCTTCACTGGTGAGGTCCTGTGGCAGAGAGCAGTACTGGTCAGTACAACCCATACCTGTGGGCATCTGGCCCCAGGTTGGGGGCCCACAATAGCTTGGGCAGTGTGTGTCTAGAAGGTAAGAAGATGATGATCTGTCTAGGGTCCCAGGGCAAGCCCAGGGAAAGGCTGGCATGAGGATCCAGGCCTGCCTCTGGCAGTGCTTCTTCCCTATACAGTACGGTCCTGAAATGCTCTGTCTTTAGAGCAGTCCTTTCCTGTAGCTGCTCCCACCACTATCACTTCCCTAGTCTGTCTACCCTCATCCCATTCATAATCTCTAGCTTCTGAATATGCCAGAAGGATCAACAATGGGAGCTCCTGTCTCATGCATGTAAGTGTCTCTCACAAGGAGGAGAATAGCCAGGGCAGGGAGAAGGAAAAATGCTGACATGCAGGGGCCACAGAAGAGGCAGACTGCAGAGGAGGACAGTAAAGATGATGCTCTTTTGTGGGTGAGTAAAGAAACAGGGGTATTATTGTACCTTGTAAGAGAAAGGAAAGAAATGTTATTCAGCCTTGTTGCTAGGGCAGTGTCAGACAGAGGAAGAGAAGATTCTAGATACAACTTGGGATCTAAACCTCATTAGAACAATCTGTACAAATAGATAAAGTTTCAACATGAAGAAGATACTACCTGTCCTCAAGAGGTTCACTTGAGAAGATCAGATGTAGAAACAAGGAACAATGAGATCATAGAGTTTGGCAGAAGAGAGGCAGGCAAGACATTTGAAGTGAATCTGGAAGGGACTGGAGTGGCAAGGCCTTGAGAACACACAAGAACCACGCCCTAGACAGCAGCACAAAGCTGAGAGAGCTCACCCGCTTCCGTGGGAATGCCCTCTTCTCGCTGCGGCCCTGACGGGTGTCACCGGCAGGTAAGGGCCCACCTGGTGCACTGGTCTCCATGTGCTCTGCCTTTACAATGTCCAAGGCCTCAAACTTCTCAATCACCTGGGATCTCCTGCAAGGAGAAAATACAGAACTGCTGACAGAGGTGGTGTTTCTCTAGTCCCCGCAGTGGCCTAGAGTCAGGGATATGCTCTGGACACATATCCTTGTCCTGGCTGGCGTTGGTTGAGCACATCCACACAACAGCCCCAACTGGCTGTCAAAGGGCACATGGTGGCGGACCCAGCTCTCACCCTCCACCAGCTCACATCTCAGGGGAGAGGCTGTCCCCTCCCACTCGCCGTGCCTCTGCCTCAAGGACCCCAGAGATTGATGTGGTCATATATGGACACTGCATAGTTGGTCACTCACTACCCTCTCCTGACCACATCCATAGTCAAGAGGCCGCCATCACATCAGTAGGTAAAGAGCTTCCGTTCTCATTGCTCTCTGTCAACAGATCATGACGCAGTACCCACCCATGGGCACCCAAAATTTAGCAAGAAAAAAAGCTGATAAATTAACACACTGTTTCTGCCAATAGTGAAAAGAATAAAAAACCAAATTAAAACAAAACAAAACAAAGCAGGTTGATTTCATGTGAAAAGGCTGGTGGCATCGTCAGGTTGTCTACGCTGGAGACGGAGCTGAGATGGGAGCGAAGCAGGCGGAGGAAGGACGAGTAACGTCACAGCGACACAGCAGGAGGAGGTGGAGAGGGACAAGACCTGGAAGAAAATAAGGCTGGAAAATGAATACACAGGAAAAAGGATTGTTTTTTTTAAAAAATCAAATAATGGCAAACCAAAATTATCCAGAGAATTAAAGAAATAAAACCCATGGTGATTGTGGGAGAAGTGAACTACCATCACATCCTGGCCCTGAGATATCCCTGGGCAGCAGGGGCTGGTAGTGGCTAGAAGCAGTTGCTGACTTGGGCCTGGTTTTGCCTGGTGTCCTCTAACTAATCCAGGGTCTGGGGACGCAGCATCCCCATGGCTCAACCTTCATCAGACAGAGGCCTGGTCCTTCAGGGACACCTAGGTCAGCATGAGCACTGACCACACGCTCCTTCCTTGAACTACACCATACAGAAGCACCTATTCAAACTCCAGATGAGTGGTGAGACTTGAGAGGCAGAGCACAGGAGAGGTAAAACTAACTCTAGCAGGAATATGAGAAGAAGGGGGCTCAGACACTGACAGCCCCAAGAAGCCAGCTTTTATTAAGTAACCAACTCTGTGGTGCAATGTGGAGGGGCACAAAAAGGAGCTGGAGAGGGGGAGAGAGCAGGAGGCCAAAGAAGCTGACAGACAGTCCTCTGTCAGAGGACTGATGCTTTCACTCATTAGCCACATATAGCCATGTGGATGGATGAGATGTATAGATTCTATGCATGAAAAGACCTGTGCACTACTATTTCTGTAAGAGCTCCATTCACAGGGGAGTTCAGGCACTGTATGAGGTGCAGCATGGTGGGGGGATAGGGTGCCGCCCAGTCTGCGTGTGGAGTGCTGCACTGTGGGGAAACACTGCCGGTGAGAGGGGAAGAGGGTGGGTGGGGAGGTGCTAACCAGTGTGTGAGGAGAGGTGTTGCCAGGTGAGGGTGAGCAGGCGGGTGCTGCCCAATGACCAGTGTAAGGAAGGGTACGGGATGCTGCAACATGAGGCATGTTCAAGGTGAGCCAATCCATGTGCAGAAGGGCTGCGGAAAGAGGGGAGGGGAGGGGTACTTGCACTGCCTCCCCCAAGCAAATACTGTCGAGTAAGGCCATGTGATTAGGAGCAGCAATCACAATGTTTTGCTATGGGGGGAGCTACTAGTATGGCTCGTCTGGTACACTACAACAGCTACTGACTGCGGTTGACGCTGACTGAGGGCATGAAGATGTGGTAATCCTGGGCCAGCCTTCCCAGCTGCAGGACTCTTGCAGTTACCTTGCCTGTCAGTTATGGGCATTTCCACCAGGACTGTTGCTTGCCCACATCTAAGCCATTAGTAGTGACTTTTCACCCAATAAGCAATGGCACAGATCAGGTGCAAGTCTGAGGAGCAAACATGCCCATATCCACCTGGCTGGGCTTATGCAGAGTCAGAGAAATCCTTGCTGTCTTGGGAGCCCAACTCCTTGGCCATACAGTTGAGCCATCAGCTAAGGTCAGTCTGCCAACCTGAAGGTTCTGCGCTAAAGAACAGGGAACTGGCTAAACACGGGGTGGGTACACTACACTTTGGCAGGTCTCAGGAGGTGATAGTTGCCAATCAGAAGTCATCAGGGCCAGGAAGGAAGTGACCACCTTATATTGGGAAAGAGCATGCAGAAAGCAAAGTCCTGATATTCCCCCAGATCAAAATAATTAAAAACAGACACCCCTGAGAAGCAGCCAAGACAAGCAGGAATTTGTTGAATGCTCTTTTGGCACGAAATCAGGACATGACAGCCCCATCCAAGAGCCACCACAGTAAGCAGCCCTTCCCTGCCCCTTCCGGCTGCTGGGAGCTCAGTAGGCCCAACAACTCTCATCAATTGCTGAGAGAACTCCTTGGCCTAAGTCACAGGCATTTATTTCACAGCAGCAGGGACTTTCAGCACAGACCTAGTTTGGTCACATAAGCCAAATCCAGTCCTAACAGCAGGTCATGGGGCTGTCCTTTGGGATCTGCAGTCAGCTTTGCACACTAGGCTTCTACACCTCCAAAACAGGGGTGAGGGTGTCAGGTGGCACTCAGCTGACAAGGAGTTATGTGGAGGGCCTTAGCTCCAAGTCCTCCCAGTCCCCCAGCTTCCTTTCTCCCCCCAGGAGTAAGGTCCATTCTGTTCTCTCCTGTTTCAAGACCAGTAACTTGGGGCATATCTCCTTTTGGATCTCTGCTGACTTGCATACAAAAGAAGGAGACTAGGTTTATAGTTTCCATCTGAGAAATCTGAAAGCCTGTGTGATTTGTGGACTAAGGGGGATTAAGGAGAAAAGGCACAGGGCAGTAACACCCTGGAGACCAGCCTGTCACTCAAGGAGAGAGGGACCCACTGCCTCCTCAGATCTTGCACTGTTCTGCCTTTGCCTTCAGACTGTGGCTTGGGAAGGGAGGGTGCTGAGAAACAACCCGGAACTGAAGCCTACATATCTTTTTTTGCATAGTGAATGTCCTTGGGAACTGGAGATTTTCTGCCTTCAGAAAAATGTGTACATGAACTCAAACGATTCAAGTGTTCATGGACCTCTAGACGCCAACCCAGAGGTCAGGAAAGATGCCTGATCCTGTGGCAAAAGCGAGCAAAGATACCTTTTTGAAGGCAGGTACTGTACCCTTCAGCCTTAGTCTAAGTTTTCTCCAAAGACCTTGAGTTCAACAGGACAAGGCAAGGAAGGGCCTTCCTCTTTGCAGAAGACATTTTTTTAAAAATATTTTTTATTTTATTTTATTATTTTTTGTGCATGTACCGTCAAATCAGATCTGACTGGTACAGGAGGAAATTGTCCCTCCTTCTCCGGCAGAGCATCTGGTGTATTCGAACCATGTACCTTTGAGATTGCAGTACAGCTTATTGCCACTAGGCCACCAGAGTTCCCCCACAGAAGACATTTTCAGTCCATGCTTTGGACCCAGCTGACCTAACACCAGCTTCTTCCAGGAAGCTACAACTCAAACTAGTCTCCTTCACTTGGCCTGTGCCAAGAGCAATGTCCTGGGGCTTTTGGCACACTTGCAGGCTTTTCCAGCACCTGTGTGGCTCCTTGGACCAAGTGCCCTGCCTTCACCTCCTCCAGAGTCAGGATCAATATCCTACTTCCATGGCCATCTCAGGTTAGCAGCAGATGAACTGGGAGCTAGGACCCTAACTCACAGGTCCATGCTACTGTGGGTTCAGCCAGGAACCTCTGACGTTCTGGTAGTGGAGTCGCTAGAGGAGCAATGACTGTGACTAGGCTACAGCATGCACAGAAACCCTATATTCTGGCAACTAGAGGCTGAATTCTGTAGGGGAATGAGGATGTAGAGCCAAGAGGGAAAGCCCCACCACTCTCATCACTGTGAGCCAAAAAGAAAAACTGTGCTTCCTCAAGGAAGGCTTAGGGGTTGTGTGTGGGTGTGTGTGTGAGTGAAAGAGAGAAGAACGTATGCGTGGGTACAAGAGAAAGTACGTGAGAGTGAATGTGTGCAAGCGTGTGAGAGGAGAAAGCACATGCATACGAGAAAGGCGACAGAGAGATAGAGTGATGATAGAAAGACCGTGCATGAGTGTGAGTGAGTGACAAATAGTGTGTGTGTGTGTGTGTGTGTGTGTGTGTGTATGCATACATGGAAAAGCATGTGACAGTAAGGAGAAGTGGTAAATTTGAGAGCAGGAGAGAAAAGTATGAGTATGGTCAGGAGTAAGAGGGAGGGCAAAAATGCATATGTAAGTTTGCATGGAAGAAAAAAGTCTGAGACAGAGGGAGATAGAGAGTCTGTTTGTGAGAGAAAGAGAGGGGAGCGTGTACGTGCACATGTTCAAGCCCTGAATCCCCTCCTTACCTCCGTTCCTTTCCAAACAGCCGGGCCACTTCTTCCCTGCCAGGACTGCAGGCCCGAGTCCTACGCTCCAGCCGCCTTCTCTCCACCTGAAAGGCTTCTCGATGGCTGATCCTGATGGCTTTAGGTATGTAAGCCAGAGTGGCATACTGCCTGCTGGCCTTAAAGGAAAAGTCGTGCCCCAATTTCTCTGCTCCCCGCTCCCCAGTGCTGCCAAAGTTCAGGTGATTGTGGGGGAGCCTAGCTGTGTCCAGGACGTTGAGGGAGATGCTGCAGGCCATGTGGTTGGCTGACCAAGGAGCTGGGGAAGGAAGGGGTTGGTGAAGCTCCTGGGAGGGTGATTCAGGGTAACTATACCTGTTGTTGGGGGTGCTGGGACTGGGGGGAGAAAGTGGTGGGGGCAGCTGCTGCTCTTCAGCCTTCAAGTCCTGTTTAGTCTTCTCTAAGGAGAAGTAGCCACTTTCCACTCGGACTTTGCGGCCACAATCCATTTGCTCATTGCTCATGGTGCCTTCTTCTGCAAATGGGGAGAGGAGATGGTGTAGAAGTAGAGGAGAAAGATACACTATCAACCTAGTTCCACTGTCACTTGTAAAGGGTGAATCAGAACCCCAGCAGCACCGCCTCTCCTTTTCTACCCCCAAGGCCCACCAATGTTAGGAGACGCTGCATAGGGATGAGATGTCCCACCCTCATCATACCCTGTACCATCAGCCTTGTAGTCTCTTAGCACAGTTCTCAGGAGAGAATGGCAATAAAGCTTTGTAGGAGCGAACAGTGAAGCACAATGGACACGAATGCCTCTGTACTGGGTGAGGGAGAAGAGGACAGCGTTCTCAGGAGGCCAAGATGAAAACTGGTTCAGTTCAGGAAATTCCAAGGTACCAGGACAAGAAAGTTTGACAATGGCCACTTATTTACTTCCAGTACCCTCTTCTCTATTTGCAGGTTAGGGGTGGGGGGTACAGGTGGGTGAGGACAGAGGGAAGAAAGATGTCTAATTAAAGTTACCTCAGAACACGGGTCTTCCCATGGTGGAGGGAAGAATGGATTTCCCACCTTCGAAATATAGAATGGAATGGGGTAGATGGCCTAGCAGGGTACTTAAGCTGGGGATGGGGTATGGACACAACCCCGTACAGGAGCCAGAGGACTATGTGCACATGCCTTGCCACAAAGCATCTTTGGTTTTCACACTTACTGCCTGAGGGGTAGTGCAACATGTACAGAGAGGACTTCAGAGCTAGAGCTACCTACTGTCCACAGGGCTAAGAAATGCAGTGGGCAGCAGATTCCTAGCCTCATGACATGGTGGGGTGGCTCATGGCCAAGCTGACCAGGCCAACGGCCTTACCTACCTTCTCTGCTCTCCAGCCCAGAAAGCAGGGAGCTGGCAGCTGGAGGCTGGCTCTGGTCTGGACTCAGGCTGCTTGCATCTGGCTGTTCCTTACCCCTCATCTCTTCCTGCCAGAGGGTGGACTTGGTAGTGGGAACCTTCTCAGCACTGGGAATGCTGCTGCTGCTGGTGACAGCCATCTTGGCGGGCCCTGGCTCCTGGAAGAAGGGCAGTATGAAGTCTGTTCCATGCACGACAGCATATGACCAAGCCAGCTCTTTCCTGGCTACCTTTTGTTCAGGTCTGGAGACTGAGAAGAAATGGAAAAGCGTGAGGCTCAAGTGGAAGGGGATGCTTAGAGCAAGGACCTCCTTCTGATGGCGGTGTGGCCTCATCACTCTGCAGCCGAGCCCTTGAAGACCCTGATCTTACTTGGTTTCTGGTACAGTTTTGGGCAAATCTTCCCTATCCTCAAACCCAGAAAGACCTCATAGCCATGGACTGGGTATTACTGTGTAGCCCAGAGTACGCCACTTCTAGACCATCAAGCATTTAAAACAAGAGCAAGAAGTGCTGGTGGCACAGTAGTTAAGCCTTGGTTCCCAACTCTAACGCAAAGGTCAGCAGTTTGAGCCTGCCATGTGCTCCTTGAGAGAAAGAAGCAATAGTGTGCTTCTGTAAAGAATTACAGTCTTAAAAAAGTCTATGAGTTAGAGAATGCTGATGGCATAGTCTATGCTGCCAAACCACAGGCCACACCTCTCTGTTGGCTCAAATGCATCAGTTGCTCCGTGGGAAAAAGAGGAGCAATTTTCTGTGCAATTTAGAGCCTCTAAAAACCAAAAGGAAGGTCAGCTATGCATTGGTTCAGATTTGATAGGAAAGAGCTTGAGTTAAAGGGTTGCTAGGTCAGAATTCAACTTGATAGCAGTGGGTTTGATTTTCAGGCAAAAGAGAACAGGATGAATGCAAAGAAGCAAAGAATGTGCTCACAAGCACTCAAGACAGGGCAATCCTGGCACCAGCCACCCTCACTTTATAGTCTTGTTGTTGTTGAGTACCACAGAGTCAGAACTGACCCACAGCTGGCTGTCTGGCGGATTTTCAGAGGCAGCTAATTGCACAAGAGGAGGGTGAAATGGGACACTGAAGATACTATGTCAATAAGTCAAGAAACACAAACCATACATACTACTCAAACTTACTCCTTTGTTGCGCGCACGCTCACTCACTCTCTCTCTCTCTGGATCTGAATCTGCAGCCTGGCTAAAAACTGTGCCCCTAAGGAGTAAGGCAAATTGGGGGTAAGTATGAAGAACCTTAATCCTGTGCATCCAGAGTTACCGGGGCAGGGCTGGGATACTCAGCAGCACTGGTGCTTGCCTCAAGCCCTCGTCCTGCCACCTGCTCAGCCTCAAATAGCTCAGGCAAGGATCCTCAGAGTTACTGAATGGCTGAGGTTCCTCTCAAACCATGGTATGGCTGTTTTCCCTCCGTCCCATAGTTGTGCCTTGTGGTATAGTAGGTTTAGTGTTCAAAATGTCTTTCCTAGTTCTTGATTTTGACTGGTTGGGAACATTAAATAGGATGTATGACTTGCCATGGGATTTGTTGGTTCTGCCATCCCATAAAGTTTAATTGAGCAGGTTTACCAGAGAAGAGGGCAATCTCACTTCTAGCAATGAAGATGCAGACTGCAATGTGCATCTTTTGTGGAGAATCAGAGAGCAACATAAGACAGTATTGACTTAGGACCATGTTCCATGGAGCCAGGGTCTTCTAAGGGAACTCTGAAACACTGACCTAAGCCATAATGCCAAAGGTGAAAGGGTCTGTGAGAACACTGTAGAAGATGTCCTGGCTGAGGAATTGTATCCTGCTGCCAACCTAAATTGTAACATGTTAACTTTCCTAGTAAACTCACAACCAGGTATGTTTCTCTGAGACTTGTGTGGCCATTGTGAGGAAGTTCAAATTCAGCAGTAGTGGGGAGAACCCTGTGAAGGATGGCTGGTGTTAAAATTAGTAGAAGTAGGTACAGGAATGTGGGGGTCTTGTCTGATCTTGCAGGAATTAGTTTTGAACTGTGCATGCTGTTGATGGAGAAGTTCTTCCCTGTGGAGTTAACAGAGGTCACAAGTGGCCATCTCCATGCTGCCCTCACTCTTTCCACATGCCCAAACCTCATTTATGGAGACTCATCTCTCTTGGAATCCTTACCAGAGTTGGATGTGAAACAGTATGTACATAGCACTATGTGCACATGTGTGTATGTGTTATGTGCACATGTACATTATACAGACATAGCATGATCACCAGGTAAGATGCTTACTGTGGCTGGATGCCACTCTGCTGAGCTCAGGTTATTATGCTCCTTGTCTGGTCCTCTCAGTAGCTCTGTGGAGAAATGAATACCCACAGAGGCGAAGCTCAGGTTAAGGGAGAGTGTGATCACACTCCTGTTGGTGTGGGAGTGATAGACTTAGGAGGGATGGTGATGTTTTAGAGGTGGCATCTAGGAGGTAGATGCAATGTGACAACAAGGGCACATCACTAGGTCCAGAATCTTCTACAAGTTACATGGTCAGATAGGCTGAATGGTTCCTCCTACTGACCTAAGCTTTTGCATGCCCTTCCACGTAGCCTAGACTACCAGCAGAGTGACCTGCATGACAAAGGTCCCTCAGAATACGTACACAGCTGTCAAACGATATACCAACAAAAATCAAACATATGGTTTTCAGAAGACTCCCCTGTCTACATTCATGTGGTCCTCAAAAGCTAAGAGACACACACAGCAACAACTTATCTGAAGTGCCTCCCAAGGACTCCAGTGGAGCCAGTTCCAGGGATGCTGGGACTTTGAATTTAATCCAGTCTGGCTCATGGTGTGGTCCTGAGCCAGTTTCTCTCTGCCATGCCTTCTTAAATCCCAAGGTCTTCTGCTCCAGGGGGAGACCAAGACTGCTAGCTGGACAGGGGCAAAAGGGGGCATGCCCTGCAATGTGGGGAAGATGCCATGTCTGCCCTGGTAAAGTTGTATTGGCTAGTGCAGGACTCAGACCAAATAAGCTGAGGCTGAGCCCTCAAAGGGAAAGGCTTGCTGGCATGCCATGCTACAGGAGAAAGTGCCAAGAGCATATACCTCTTTTTTTCCTCAGTCTTGGTAGAAGTAGGCTGGTAATTCAGATATGTAATCAATTCTACGATGTGATCTGCTATGAGCTGAAAGAGAAGAGACTGCCAGTATCTACAACTATGATAAATGTCCCTATCACTGGTTTTGAGTCTCTAATAGAACCCAGCCTAAGGCAGCATGTCAAGTATGAGGTACAAGAGTCTGCAACTGGAAGCCTGGAAACATCCATTTCAACACAGAACTCGAAAGGTACCCACCTCTTGGCCTTGGGTTTTAGAACAGCCGCCTCCTCAAACCACCTCTGTGGGAAAAACCTCACCTCAGAGAATGCTGTCATAAGGTGCAGCCCAGGCTGACAGAGCTGTATTTCTCTTTTGGCAACTCTATTCCCTCCCATCCCTGTGAAACATCTCAGGTCAATAGGGACAGAGGAGATAAAGCCACTCTTGTCTCTTAGGCAGTCAAGAAGGGCACAGAGTCTGTGCTCTGAGTGAATGTGTTCTTCTTATTCAAAGTGCATGTGTTGAGTGTTAAATGCCCCAGAGGGTCCAAATGTGTGCACGGCAGAACAGAAAGGGCATGTGGCCAAGCCAGGATAGGCCATGATGTGTTGTCTTCCCTTCCTGGTGGGACACACCTATGTGAGAGGAAGCTTTCTACAGTTCTCTACTACATGTCCAGAACAGCTGTACAACTGAGGGCTGTGGATACAGCAAGGAGCCAGCTGTGTGCCAAAGTAGAGGGGATTTGCGCAGTACTTATCCTTTTGTGACTGAGATATTTTGCTCACTATAATGACTTCCAAAATCATTCACGTTGTGTAGTGTTTTACAAATTCACTGTTTCTCAATGTGTAATCTTCAACTGTGAGGATGTAACCACAGTTTTTCTATCCTTTTGTTTGTTGATGGGTACTTGAACTGCTTCCAGCTCTTCACTATTGTGAATAGTGCTGCAATAAACATGGGACCTCAACTGATGGACTGCACAGGAATCAGAATGACTATATCTGCACCAAAAATTGTTGTGAGAAGCTTTACATAAGTAGTCAAAACCAGGCCAGGTGCTGACTGTAAAATAGACCATCAATAACTCATGTGCAAGTTCAAGCTGAAGCAAATGAAACACATAAGAACCAAAATACAACCTGAGTCTATCTCATCTGAATTTAAAAATCATCTCAAGAATAGTTTGAGGGCTGAACAACAATGATTAAAGACAAGAGGAGCTATGAGATGACATCAAGGATAATATCCATGAAGAGAGCAAAAGGTAATTACAAAGACAGAGGAGAAAGAAAAAACTAAATTACAGTCAGAAGAGACTAGAAAAATTGCATTAATGCACCAAGAAACCAACACAAAATATTATAACAAAATGTGCAAAGAGCTAAAGTCAGAGAATTAAAAGGGAAGAACTTGCTCAGCATTTCTCAAATGGATAGAACAGAAAAAACAAACTCAAGCCTCAAGTTGCAATACTGAGAGATGGGCAAAATCTTGAATGATTCAGGGCACAACAAAAGAAGATGGAAGGAAAATACAGAGTCCCTGTACCAAAAAGAACTTGTAGACACTGAAAAAATTACAGGAAGTGCCATGTGAACAAGAGCCAATGGCAATGCAGTTCAAGCTGCAATGAATGCATTTGCAAAATGTAAGGCCCCTAAAATTGATGTGATATCAGGTGACATATTTCAATTAACAGACGCAACTCTAGACATGCTCAAGAGTCTATATGAGGTAATTTGGAGGACAGTTGTCTGGCTGACTGATTGGAAGAGATCTGTATTTGTTCCTATTCCCAAAAATGTGATTGAACAGAATGTGGAAATTATCAGTGTTATCATTAATACCACATGCAAGCAAAATATTGCTAAATGATCCAAAACCAACAAGAACAGTATATTGAAGAGAAGTGCCAGAAGTTCAAGTGAGGTTTAGACGAGATCGTGGCATCAGGGCTATCATTGGGTTTTGGGTTTTTAAATTATATTTATTTTATATTTTATTCATTCGTTGTTGTACATTTTCTTCCTTCCCCCCCCCAAGGGGACAATAATTGTTAATGTCAGATGGA